GGAAGATAATACTTTATGCAAATGGAAACACTAGGAAAGAACTCTCGGTGAACATAGCAGGCGGAGATAATTAGTGAAGCCATATATCCTAGAAGTATGAATATGCAGCGCTGCTAGATATTCTGCGCTCAGCAAGGAAAACGAAAATACGAGCTGGGACTGTCCCGCCCTCGTGATAACAGGACATTGCTCTTTCCTCGCCTTTTGACGGTCTTGAAAGCGAGAGAGGAAGGGAGGGAGAAGGGGAGGGAGAGGGAATGAGAGAAGGAGAAAGAAAGATAGAAAGAAAGATAGAAAGAAAGATAGAAAGAAAGATAGAAAGAAAGATAGAAAGAGAGAGAAAGAAAGATAGAAGAGAGAGAAAGAGAGAGAAAGAGAGAGAAAGAGAGAGAGAGAGAGAGAGAGAGAGAGAGAGAGAGAGAGAGAGAGAGAGAGAGAGAGAGAGAGAGAGAGAGAGAGAGAGAGAGAGAGAGAGAGAGAGAGAGAGAGAGAGAGAGAGAGAGAGAGAGAGAGAGGAGAGAGAGAGAGAGAGAGAGAGAGAGAGAGAGAGAGAGAGAGAGAGAGAGAGAGAGAGAGAGAGAGAGAGAGAGAGAGAGAGAGAGAGAGAGAGAGAGAGAGAGAGAAGAGAGGAGAGAGAGAGAGAGAGAGAGAGAGAGAGGAGAGAGAGAGAGAGAGAGAGAGAGAGAGAGAGAGAGACAAAAAAGCGCGAGAGAAATAGAAAGCAACAGAGTAAATACAACGAAGCAGAAAACAAGTTAAACAGAGAAAACGGAGAGACATGGTAAGAAATGAGAAGAAAGAGAGAGAGAGAAAAAAAATAGAGGAGACGACCAACAGAAGAAACAAAACAACACACAAAAAAAACAAAAAAAACGGGAAAACAAAATAAAAGGAGAAATAGGGTCGGTAATACTTAGGAGAATTAATTACAATCCTGAGGTTGACGCTTCAAGGTTGCACGTTTGTCCGCCAGGGGGCCGCGTGCATTTCTTTGTGGTTAGAGCATGTCTTCGCGGCCAAGACACCAATTGCTTTCCCTTTGGCTCAGGTTCACAGTCAGCATCACATTCTACACCCCCCCCCCACAAACACACACCACACACACACGCGTTTCGGTCCGTCCGTGTTCTGTCTGTCCGTGGCGTGCTGTGTCCTTGGCGCGTCGTGTCGGGTCCGTCTGTTGTAAGTCTGTCGTGTCGTGTTCGTCCTTGTCGTGTCATGTCCGTCCGTGGCGTGTCATGTCCGTCCGTGGCGTGTCATGTCCGTCCGTGGCGTGTCATGTCGTCCGTGGCGTATCATGTCATGTCCGTCCGTGGCGTGTCATGTGCGTCCGTGCGTGTCATGTCCGTCCGTGCGTGTCATGTCCGTCCGTGGCGTATCATGTCCGTCCGTGGCGTGTCATGTCCGTCCGTGGCGTATCATGTCCGTCCGTGGCGTGTCATGTGCGTCCGTGGCGTGTCATGTCCGTCCGTGGCGTTCATGTGCGTCCGTGGCGTGGTCATGTCGTCCGTGGCGTGTCATGTCCGTCCGTGGCGTGTCATGTGCGTCATGTGCGTCGTGGCGTGTCATGTCGTTGGCGTGTCATGTGCGTCCGTGGCGTGTCATGTCCGTCATGTCCGTCGTGTCATGTCGGCGGCGACCGCAGGAATGGCGTTGCTCCAAAAGGTGGGGGGGGGGGGGGCTGGAGCCGTGAGGGAGGGGGCGGAGGCAGCCCTGGGTCGCGACCCCGGACGGAGGTCAGAGCGGCGCTCAATCTCCTCGCTTCTCCTTCCTCTTTCCTCTCTTTCTTCTTTATCTTTATTCTCTTCCCTCCTTCTTTCTATCTCGTTCTTTTCTTTTCTCCGTTCTTTTTTTCTCTTTTTTCATTTTCTCTCATTATTTTCACCCTTTCTTCTTCTCTCTCTCTATTCTTGCTTCTCTCTTTCATCGCCCTTCTCTCTCCTTTTTCATAATTCTCCTCCTTCTAGTCTCTTCGCTCTTCAGGTCTCTCTCTTCCCTCTTTTCTTTCCCTTTTTTCTTTCATTCTCTTTTATCTCACCATCTCCTCTTTCATCTTTACTCGCTTTTTTCTCCTATCTGTCGTCTGTTTCCTCTCTCGGTTCTGTTTTGCTTCTCTCCTCTTTTTTCTCTTCTCGCCCTTATTATTATTATTATTATTATTTATCATCATTGTTACTATTATTATTGTTATCATCATAATCATTGGTATTATAATAGTGATTATGATAATAATAATAATAATGATAATAGTAATAATAACAATATAACAATGATAATGGGGATTACTGTTGGCATTATTATTACCATTATTAGTATCATCATCATCATCATTATTATTATTATCATTATTGCTATTATTGTTATTAGTATTGCTATCATCATCATCATCATCATTATCATTTTTATTAATATTATCATTACTATAGTCTTTATTATTATCATCATTCCTATTCTTATCATTCTTATTATCATTATCATTATAATTAGAATCGTTGCCATTATTATTATTATTATCGTTGCTATTGTTATGATAATCATTATCGTTATTATTGTTTTTATCTATTATCATTATTTCATAGACTTTTTAAACCCTGTTGTGTGACTTGGCCGCAATCCATTTCTTCAAGGATGCGATCATGTGTCTGCATTTTGTTTTTGCCTTTGATGTGACCTTGCACCTTTCTCGAGGTCAGGTCAGCATTCTTCCTGCAGTTGCCTTAATGACAAAAATATGTGCGCATGTGTAAGTGTGAATCTGTGTGCATATGTGTGTGTTTGTCTGTGCGAATGTGGATGTGTGTGTGTCTGTGCGAATGTGTATATGTGTGTGTCTGTGCGAATGTGCATGTGTGTGTGTCTGTGGCGAATGTGCATGTGTGTGTGTCTGTGTGAATGTCTATATGTGTGTGTGTCTGTGCGAATGTGTATGTGTCTGTGCGAATGTGCTTATGTGTGTTTGTCTGTGCGAATGTGTATGTGTGTGTGTCTGTGCGAATGTGCATATATGTGTGAATGTGCATGTGTCTGTGCGAATGTGCATGTGTGTGTGTCTGTGTGAATGTGTATGTCTGTGCGAATGTGCATGTGTCTGTGCGAATATGCATGTGTGTGTGTGTCTGTGCGAATGTGGATATGTGTGTGTGTCTGTGCGAATGTGTATGTCTGTGCGAATGTGCATATGTGTATG